CAATGCTGGGAGATCTCACCTGACTACTGAGGCTGGATCCTTTATGTTTTTTCTTCCCCTATGCATTTTTCCTATCTCTACCTTGAAGCAGGAACAGCCTGTAGTTCTTCCTGGGATTTGCTTTTGAAAATTTGAGGCCTCAGGAGAACTTAGAGCAGTAGTTCTCAACTTGGCTCCTCATGATACCACCTGGGGAGTTTTAAAAGCTCTGCTGCCTGGGTCCCATCCCCAAATACTCTAATTTAGTTGGCCTAGGATGTTCCTTTGGTGGTTCTAATGTGCAACCAAGTTGGAGTATCACTGACTTACAGGATTCCTAGACACAGTAAGAGAGAATGAGATTTGCTGTAATGAACAAAATATCTTGGAGAAGCAGGGGAAAGGGGGAGCTTCCTTGCTCCAGTTTAAAAAAATAGCCTTGAGTTGTTACCCTGGAGTAGTAGGAATCTGGATTCTGGCTTCCTGACAGCCCCACAGGTGTCGGTAGGAGGACTCCAGGGGGATGGCAGTGTGGTGTATCTAGGCCAGTACTTCTCACACTGGGATGTGCACACCAATCACCAGGGCATCTTGTTAAAATGCAGATTCTGACTCAGAAGGTCTGTGTTTCCAAAAAGTTCCTAGGTTTTCCCAGTGCTGCTGGTCCACAGAGTGGCAAAGATCTGCATGGCTAGGACTCTAGGCGGTCCCCCTTAATATTCCCATATTCATCTCAAGCCATGACCTGTTAAACCCAAAGGGTTCCACAGGCAGGGACAATGACATCCCTGGGGTAACCTGGTTAAACTGATGACTGAGGAGCAGATGAAGCGCCTCTGCAAAGCCTTCCAGGCTCAAATAAAAAGGAGCGCATCCCAGCAGGGGATCCCCATGTCCAGGTTCTGGCAGATTACAGGTGGCCCATTCAGCCATACGGGGACTATTTACAAGGTTGGGGCGGGGTTAACAGAAACCAACAAAACATTTGGAGGCACCACCTCTCAGGCCGAAGGGGAGGGAGTAGTGACTGGAATCCCATGAGAGCTGTGGGAAAGGGACACCTGAAGCAACTGTTATTTGTAGAGAAACACAGCCACTTGGGAGAAAATGGATCATCAAGGATAAATCTAGGGGAATAAATTATCCAATACAGCTCTTCTCCCACCCTGTGATTTCCTACTGATGCCTCCCTTCGGCCTAACCCAACTAGAAACCAGAGGGCAAGAGAACCCAGCTGCTGTAGCCCATCAAAGTCAGCCTTCTGGGCACAGATTGGGTGGTTTAAACAACAGATATTTATTTCTCACATTTATGGAGGCTGGGAAGTCCAAGATCAAGGGCATCAGCAGAGTTGGTGTCTGGAGAGAACCATCCTCCTTGTTCAAAGATGGCAGTCTTCTCACTGTCTTTACATGGCGGAAGGGAGTGCTCTGGGGCCTCATGTAAGGGCACTAATCCCATTGATGGGCTCCACCCTGGTGACCTAACCACCTCCCAAAGGCCCCACCTCCCAATATCATCATATTGGGGGTTAGTATTCAGCATTTGAACTTGGGGGTGGGGGGGCATCAACATTCAGTCTATAGCACCATCCCAATAAGGGCTCAGCCTCAGTCAGAAATTAAGTTGGTATGGAAGGTAAAGAAAAGGACAGCACAGTCTGCATCTGAGACTCTTACCCCTGATAGGTGGGCGCTTACCTGAGAGTGTCAAACGTCTTCATGAATGACAGATGGATCTGAACCCCTGCAATGGAGCTTTTGGGACAATGGTTGTGACCCTGTTGAACTGGTGTGTAGAGAAGATGTAGACTTTCAGAAGTTGCTGCTGATTTCAGGAATGTGTTGAGAATAAGTTACATGTGCTTTGAAACCTGCCAACAGGTGGACAATAGAAGGAAGAAAAAAAAGAATGCAGCCTTGTTATAGTTTGCTGATGACACCGATTTCTCTGAGCTTCTCAGGAAAAAAAAAATACTCAGAAAGGCAGGAGTGTGAAAAGTTATTTAGGCCCCCACCTCACACCCCAAGTTTCTTAAAAACAAAACCTCTGACCATCTTTCTGGGAAAAGAAAGCTACAAGCCTGAGGAACTCTAACCCAGGGAAAAGTGGGATCTGACCTATTTAGAACCAGTCTTGGCCGGCTTGAAATTTAGCACGAGTAGAGCTCCCGCTTATGGCTTATCCTAAACACCTGTGAGTTTTCCCAGTGCCTGGTGTTGGTAAAGGGGGAAAGGAGAGGAGATGACTGCACTTCTGAGGTGAAGCGAACCAGGTGCTGACTGGGAGTTCAGCAGCACCTTCCCAGACCTGGCCAGAGAGAACAGCTGGAGAGTTCTCAGGCAGTACACAGAACTCCAGCTGGATTTTCATGGTTCTTTGGGAAGCAGGTGGGAGCTCCTCCTGCAGGATGCCTGAGAATAGGCTACCAAGGCAGAGTTATAAACATAGTTCAGGTTTTGAGAGTTTTATTTCTCAGGTTACCACAGTTTCTCAGAAGTTGGAGGGTTTCCACACTGTACTGGGCATTGGTTAAGGAACTGAAGCAATAACTAGGCCTGATCATTAGAAGTTGTTCTGAAACCATCAAGCGCCAAAATAAATTCCAGGTTAATTAAAAAGTTAAAGACTAAATATCGCAACAAAAAAATTAGAAGAAAATATAGGCAAATGTTTAGCCAATTCTAAGGTGGCCAAGGCCTGTCTTAAAAAGGAAAACCCAATAGGTTTAAAATATACAGCATACCCTGGAGATATTTCGGGTTTGGTTCCAGACCACTGTAATAAAGCAAGCATTGCATTAAAGAGAGACGTAATCCTTTTGCTGGTGGAGAGTCTTGCCTTACATTTGTAAAACATGTGACATCTGTGATACACAATAAAGCAAGATGCAATAAAACGAGGTATGCCTGCATTATACAGTGTGTGTGTGTGTGTGTGTGTGTATACACAATTAAAATTTACTGTATGATTTTTAAATCACACAAAAATAAAATTAATAGTATAAAATTAATAGAAAAAAATTGGGAAAATATTTGGTTAATATCCTTAATACAGAAGAACACATAAGGAGGAAATAAATGATGAGCCCAACAGAAAACTGCTAATGAGAAATAAGCATATGGAAAATATTAATTAATGCAACAGTGAAATATAACAAAACACCATATAGTTTTTCTGGATTGACTGAGATAGGGAAAAACATAATATCCAATATTGCCAAGGGTGCAAAAAAGGGGGCATTTCAATCCATCTGGAATGTAAATTGGTTTGACTTTTCTGGAAGGTAATTTGGTAGTTAATATTGTAAACCATTTTATTGTTAATATTGCATAACTTTTCACTCAGCAATTCCTCTTCTAGAAATTTATCCTAAGAACATAATCAAGGATGTGCACAAAGACTAATCTACAGGAATGTTTACCACAGTGTTATTTTAATAGCAAAAACTTGGGGGTCAGTTGTACTGACTGTTAAGATATAACAGAGTTGGGCCCTAACCGGTTTGGCTCAGTGGATAGAGCGTCAGCCTGCGGACTCAAGGGTCCCAGGTTCGATTCCGGTCAAGGGCATGTACCTTGGTTGTGGTCACATCCCCAGTAGGGAGTGTGCAGGGCAGCTGATCGATGTTTCTAACTCTCTATCCCTCTCCCTTCCTCTCTGTAAAAAATCAATAAAATATATTTTAAAAAAAGATATGACAGAGTTGGGTGATGGGTACATGGGTCTTCATTATTGTATTTGTTTTCTATTGTTGCTATAACAAATTACCATAAAGTGAGTGGCTTAAAACGACGCAAATTTGTTATCTTACAGTTCTGTGGTTCAGTCTGCCCCGGGTCTCACTGTTAACATTGAGGGGCTGGCAGCAATGAGTCCCCCCTGGAGGCTCTTGGAGAGAGTCCATTTCCTTGCCTTTTCCAGCTTCTGGAGGCTGCTCACATTCCTTGGCCCATGTCCCTTCTTCCATCTTCAAAGCCAGCAACATAGCGTCTCCCAGACCCTTCTTCATCATCACAGCTTTTTTCTTTTTAATTCTTTTTTTTCTGTCTTTTTCTTCCACTTTTAAGGACTCTTGTGATTACATTGGCCCTACCTGGGTAACCAAGCATAATTTTCCTGGTTTAAAGTCAGGTAGTTTGTAACCTTAATTCAACTTGCCATGTAACTGTAAGTCTTGGGGATTAGGACATTGAAGACTTTGGGGCCCACTATTCTGCCTACTCAATTGTATTATTCTATATACTTATCTGTCTGAAAATATTTATTATTTAAGATAATAAATATTTAAAAACCCAAACATAATTCCAATTTAGCATATGGATGAAAGGAGGATATATATTCATACGATGACTACTACATGCCTATCCTATATAATAAAACCCTAATATGCAAATCGACCAAATGGTGGAACCACTGGACACTATAAGGTGCACTGACCACCAGGGGGCAGACACTCAATGCAGGAGCTGCCCCCTGGTGGTCAGTGTGCTCCCACAGGGGGAGTGCCTCTCAGCCAGAAGCTGGGCTCACTGCTGGTGAGTGCAGCTGCAGTGGTGGGAGCCTCTCTGGCCTCAGCTGCAGGTGGGCAGTAAGGAGCAAGGGGTCCTGGACTGTGAGAGGGATGTCCGCCTGCCCGCCTGCCAGCTTAGGCCTTCTACCCACAGACATCCCCTGGCAGCCGGACATCCCTGGAGGGGTCCGAGACTGTGAGAGGGGAGCACAGGCTGGGCTGAGGGATCCCCCCCAGTGCACGAAATTTTGTGCACCAGGCCTCTAGTTAAAAGTCATAATTAGGAAAATGTGTAGTAACATGGAACAATGTTCATTATACAGTAAGTGTGGGGGAGATGAAGTCTAAAAAGGAATATGCACAAGATATCCATTATGTTAAACAAAACCCCAAACAAGCCTCTTTGTAAGTGAATAAGAAATGTTTGAAAGGACATAGGTCGAAATGTTTAATATGTTTATCTCTGCATAATAATCTTAATTTTCTGTTTTTCTGCATTTTCCAAAATGTGTATTAGACATTTTATTTTTGCAAACAGAGAAACAGGTGATTAAGAACGCCTATCTAGGGCCATTTTCTGGTCAAGCATCTCCCTGGTTTCCTAGCTGTCGATCACATTCCCTCACACTCATCCCTCAAGCTTGTCCTCCGCATCAGAATACTTTCTATCGGTGACCCCAGCCTGGAGTCTTTGTGCCTCGGGGACAGGAAGGAGCCGCTAGTGACGGAGCGTGGCAGCGACCTGGCAGCGAATCGCGCCGAGAAACTTTCCCAGGGCAAAGCCAGCCCCAGGCACAGCTTCACCCACGAAGCGCTTGGCAGCCGGTGCCTTGGAAGCCGGATGCTCGCGTATAGGAGCCTCTTTCCTAACCGCTGGCACAGGTTACAGTTTAACTAATAACATTGTGTTTAGTGCCCAAAAGAGCAGAGGACGGTGGCCTAGCGACCAGCGGCCGCACCCCCTCTCCGCGGCCTCCGCCCGAGGGGCTTCCTGGCCGGGCACATCCCGCCGGGCCGACCCGGGCGCCGCGGGTCCAGTGCGGAGCCTACGGCCGGCGGCGCAGCCTGGGCCCGTTAGGTTCGCGGAGCGCGGCCGGAGCCCGGGACCACGGACAGGCCTGACGCTCATAGCTCCCTGGCCCGGACCCGCGGGCGGCTGCCGCGTCCCACCCCCCCACAGAGTGATTCCTGTAGGCCCACGAACAGAAACCCTGACACTGTGGGTTACTTTTTTTATT